TTGAATCACTTGAATCCATAGACATATATGACTGTGATAGTCTCGAGTCATTTCCTCAAGGGAATTTGCCCCCCAATCTAATTGAACTTTTTATTACCGGTTGTGGAAAAGTCAAGCCCTTGTCTGAATGGGGCCTGCACAGACTCACCTCTCTTCAAAAATTAGATCTTTGTGCTGTATATCCAGAGCTGGTGACCTTTCCTGACGATCATGACAACTGCTTTCTACTTCCTCCAACTCTAACTGAATTACGCCTTGGAAATCTCCCTAATTTGGAATCTGTGTCATCCAATGGACTCCAAAATCTCAGCTCTCTTCGACATCTAGGGATCTCAGCCTGCCCTAAACTTCGATCCTTGCCCGAGGAAGGGCTGCCTTCCATGCTTCGAAGTTTTCAGTTCAGGGATTGTCCACTTCTTGAGCAACGGTGCTTGGAGGATGGAGGTGATTACTGGCCCAAGATTGCCGACATCCCTTGCGTCCTGATAGATATTCCCTACTACATTATAAGTGGTAAGCTCAGTCTCATGGCTCTTCTTTTAATCTTATCATCTCCTCATAACACATGCAATTTCCTTCTCAATGTGCATCAATAAAAAAACAAAACTTTAAAGGATGTGCATATTCTGATTTGGGTTTTAGATTTTCCTTAAAAAAGTTGTTTTTGTTCTATCCATTGAGACATAGCCAATAAAGTTGCATTTATGGAGTGCATTTGTCGGCTAATGACCTCTTGGAACGGAACAAGTAGTATTTGCACATTTTAGATTAAGAATATACTTTTCTTCATTCAAGGAACATTTGGATATTCATGCACTTTTTAGCTGTGTTGTTGTCATTGGAGTATTTTGTGGGAGCATGGGCCGGCTATGAACTGGATTCTGCTCTTTTGCATTTGTTTTTTCATTTGACTCTGTGTATTACAGACTTCAACTGAAGATTTGTGCATCAAATTGTCATCTCATGATGTTAAGTTCCACTCAGAGAATGGGCAACCCGAAGAAATATTCTCATATAACCAGTTTCCATTCCTTTCATTGAAGACACGAGAATATTCTTTTGTTCATCTTAAGGTATTTTCTTCAGCATTGCTGTGAACTAGAACATTTGTTCTTCTTCTTCTTCATCCTCTCCATGGCATGATTTTTGTCTTAATCTCTTCTGGAGATTACCAAACTCTAATAGAAAGTGTTCATTGACTTTAAGATGAAGCTTAATTCTTGCATCACCCCATGAAATATTTCTAGATAGTGTCCTTGACTACTAACTATTCTTGTCGGACTGACATACATCATAGTTAAAACAGGATTTATTTTTTTATTTTTTTAATGAGTTTATAGCAATAAAGAAGTCAAGCAAATAATTTTATCACAAGACACTTCAATATTGCTGCAAACATAAAAAAAATTGCAGTGATCTAATGACCGTTCGATCACACAAAGAGTCAAATTGTCCTTGTCTCCTTGATTGTTTTAATGTTTGGCAATCAACTAGCTTTACAAAATCATGTAATGTTATTGAACTATAGAGAAGCTCTTTATCATTCTTCCTTCCGTATATAGCTATATTGATGTAATTAATCTTCTTCTTTATCAAGTATCACACAGAGCACTGACCTATCCTCCAGGGGTTCTTTAAAGAAAAGGAAAGATTATAAACTAAAAGCAAACCAATCTCCTCTTTCACAGCATATGATGATGATAATCTGGAAGCTATATCTTAATGACTTGTTCACTTGATATGCTATTAAATTAATCTAATGATTTGTAAACCTATTGGACCTAGCGTAAATGTAATCCTAGCATCTTAAGTTTGATAACGAATTGGCGAACTTGGTTACATCAACTGTACCTGGATGCCCCCTAAGCTGCTTTGCTGTGTGATTTGATTTCATAATTTGATCTCCCTTCCAAGTAATTAGAAAGGCCTGATGTTTAATTCTACCTCATGGCCCAAAAAGGGGATCATCAATGCAATATTGAATCTTGCACTCTGTCCTTTTGAAGATGATTATAATTATACTACTACTGCGACCTCTGGTGATGCCTAAATACCTTATCACTATGAACCGTAATCAATCACCGAAAAGATAACAACTGTTCTCGAAACTGCGAGAGTAAGAAATCCTTTAAATTTCTTTCATGATTTATAACCCGGAAGGATGCCATCCTTCTTTGTTCTTTTTTAATTTCATGGTAGGGCCAATGCTGTAAACCTTGTTTTGCAAGCCTCTGTATATTCCTCGTCTGATTTTAATAATTGGTCTGGATGACGTCGTTATTCGATTCTTTCCATGAAGCTAACCAAAGCCCAAGAACTGACTCACATATATACTATAATATACCTCCAGGGATCATCCAACCTGAATCAAAGGTTGATTGCAAACCATTTTGCAAAAGATGATCGATAAATAGTTCCATTGCCTCTTCTGAAATGTCTAGACAGGAAGAAACATTTCAGCACTTAAGCTTCCCAAAAACCATATCAAATTCCATTAATTATTTGATGTTTTTCCAAATAAGTTTAGTCCAAAAAAGATGAGATTATACTTGAGCATAATCTTAAGCAGCAGGTAATATTAAAGTTAATGTCGGTATTTGTGATAGACAGTATTTTATTTAGAGGTTCATTGTTGTGTGCTAACATTTATTAGTCCATACATAACTGTTCACTTACAGAATTATCTACTCATCATAGACTCATAGGGGTCTAAAATGCATCGTTTTTAAATTTCTGATCTGCCTTTATTTGAAGGAGGATCGTGCTGTTAACTGAACATGCATGTGCATGATTTTGTACTCTATGTATAGGAACTTGAACATGAATCAGGTTCATCTATACTAAAACTAGTGGTTGTTGAGAAATAACCTAGGGTATTGATTACTCTTTCAATCAGTTTTACTTGGTTATATGCTTTAGCATATATCGCAGGGATATGGATGGGGGTTTTGTATGCTTGATTAGACATTGCTGTAATATATATTTGGATTGTTCTATGTTGTTTTCTAGGAATAGGATTAAAGTTTCTGTACTGGTATCAATTATTATGTCTCTGTTCATCTCCTTAATGGTATTATATTTTGTTTTGATTTGCAAATTCTTGAGGCATTTGAAAACTAGTTATATGATGCATCTAATTGATGTTTCATGCCATTGCAGTTGAGCTACATGTGTTGAGTGATTTAAGTCTTTTTTTTTTTTACCCTTATTTTTCTTTGTTTCATATTAATTTGTGTAGATAGCTTAAAAATATGTTGCATCTAGTGTGATGGGAACAGTTTTTTTACCTAGGCTTTTTTGATGTTCCAGAACAGTTAATTGCCGGAGTGAGGATCACACGGACATCTCTCCCTATGTAAGTATTGTACGAGTCATGTATTGACTTCTAATATATTCTAATATATTTTAAAAGGTTAAATATAATAGGTGAGATGGCGTGTAATACAAAAGAATGGAAAAAAAGAAAAAAAGGAAGAAAAGAAGAGAGAATTCATGTGGCCGACAATATTCATATGGGATTATGGCAAGGACGATCACGATTTATCAAGTTCTAATAAATAAAATGGAAAAAATGTTACTAGTTTAGTTTCTAACTTTATTTCCTCTTTTTTTGGCAGGTTGCACAGAGAGTTATGATATGCTTGGATGTTTTTATTTGTTAGAATCATTGATGTAATTGACATTTTATTTCATTTCGAGGACACTAGATTTGATTTGTTTTGAAAGATGAAGGAAAATAAGGCTGTGTAATGTGGGTAGCAATTTAACATGTATATAATATATCATTTTAGTAGAATTGCAATAGAGTAGGTAGAGCCTAATCCGGTTTGTGAATTGTTCGAGATTGAACTCAGCAATCAAACTCCATTTTTAGTTGAGTTCGACATTACTAGTCAAACTCGAGCTTCCGGTCTCTGATAGCTTGAGATTGAATTCAACAGTCAAATTCGAGTTTTTTTTGTTGAGTTTGAACTTGACCCGGATATTACTTGTAAAACTCGAGCTGCGATTGTTTGGCTCATTTTTACTGTTGAGCTCAAACTCCTTGAAGCTTTAGTTCAAATTCAAGTTTTAGATCAAAACATGAATTGGAAGAAAAATTGATTATGAATTCAAAGAGGATTAGAGGACCTAATAAAAGGCCATATTCATGAGGCTTAAAATATTTTTATAAATCAACTTTAGTTTCTAAACAATAATCAACCCCAATGAGTTAAATCCCAAGTCCACCTAGATACAAATTTAAGGTCACTAAAAACGAGACGTCCAATATATATAACCTTGTACGACCTAGCATGCAGAAAATGATTGTCTTCATGCAGAAAATACTTTGTTTGTGACACCTAAACCATGAGGCTTCACACAATTAGGATGTTTCAGAAGTACAGTTGTCAATACATGAAATATGGCCCATCTCGGCTAATATATATATATTTATATTTGGTTAAATAAATAAAATAAAAAAAAAAACATTAGGTGGTATGGGTTAGATAGAAATTAAGTTTTAATATTAATATATATATATTTTGGTTAAATAAATTGACCCAATAATTGATTATTACTATTTTTTACTATATACTTATAAAATTTTAAAATTATCTCATTAAAATTATAGAATAAGTGAATAACTTTATTATTACCTTCACAACATTTTTTATTTTATTATTGTTTAAAAAAAAAAAACTCCCATCACATAATTTCTTGGTCCATCCTGAATGTAGTTACCATTAACTTATCGGATGCATTTTTGCTCAAACATTTCTACCTATTTTGAATTTAAACATCATGTGATTTTAATCAAACGAAATTTCCCTTTCTTGAACTTTCCCGTAATTATTACTATTATTATTATTTTTCAGGAATTAGGATTGAAAAGTTTTTCCTCAGATGGTGGCACGTGCGAGGACAGTATTTTTTCTATCTCACACACTCAAAATACACACAGATATCAAATAACGACAAACACGGGGCCTGTTTGAGTTGCAACTACAGTGTGAGTTCTAATAACGTTTGAAGTTTGGAAAATTATTTTCATTGCCTTTACGGACAAAGATTTGTTCTTGTTGTTTTGAAAATTATTTTCTTTGCCTTTGTTGTTTATGTTTTAGGAGTTGTTTTGATCTCATGGCGTTTGCTACTATTCCCCGTCAGACATACATTCCTCTGCCTTCTGACTCGGGTATATAATAACATCGATATTTTCAGCCTCTTCTCATTTTAACTATTAATTTTCGGTTCTTTCTGAAACATTTTACTTTATGGGTTTTGATCATGTCTGTGTTTTGAATGTGGGTTTGGTTTTTGATTTTTTCTTTTTGGAGTTTTGATCATCACCTGTTTCTGAATGTGGGTTTCGTGTTTTGCGTTTATTTATTATTTTTTTAATGGGTCATTACCAGTTTCTGAATGTAGGTTTTGCTATTGAGTGAGTGCAATTTGGTTTTTGCTTTCTATGAGTCCTTGAGTCAGGTATATAGTAGCGATAGTTTCAGCTTGCTCTCATTTTAACTGTTAATTTTCGGTTCTCTCTGGAACATTTTACTTTATGGGTTTTAATCATTGTCTGTTTTTAGAATGTGGGTTTGGTTTTGATTTTTGCCTTTTGGAGTTTTGATCATCGCCTGTTTCTGAATGTGGTTTTTTTTTTCGGTTGGTATTGGTCATTGCCAGTTTTTGCTATTGAGTGAGGGAAACTTGGTTTTTGCTTTCTATGAGCCCCAGACTCAAATGATGCATTTGGTTTGCGGGGATTGAGTGCTTGCAGAGTTTGCAACTATCTGAGAAAAAAAAAAAAAAAAAACCTCTGGATTTTGATCATCATTTGTCTTTGAATGTGGGTTTCGCACTCGATTTGTGTTTTAGGGTTTTCCCCCTAGAAAGTTGATGTTTGGTGGCATATGTTTACCTTTGGTCTCTCTTGCGGTTTTTGTTGCAGTGACTATTGTTTAAATTTATGTTATAAATTTATAGTTTTCCCAAGGTTGATATGACCTTATCGCATCATCTAATCATTTAAAAGTCCATTTCATGTATGCATCCTTATGATGATTGTGTTTGTTTGCATTTTTTTAACAGTTGTTGCTCCATCAATCCTCAAAATTTAATTCTGGAATGGTGATTTTGTTTGTGGGCTTTTATTTGTTTCGGGCCTGTGGAAAGTTGAATTATGTTACTCCATTTATCAGATATAACTTCCTTTTCCTGAAAATTGTCCTGTTTTGGTGCTATCTGTTCGCTCTATTGTTTTACCACTTTTTATTTTTTTATTTATTTTTATTTTTTATTAAATGAAGGAGTATATTTAAATATATGAACAATATGGTACAAAAGACAAGTAAGGGCATACCCTTACCAAAACAAAAACAATACCCTTAAAAAGGATACACAAAGCTCTCAAACCTAGCCATCAAAACAAGTAAACTACAAGATGTCCTGAAGGCATACCCCCATAACATCAAGTACCTCCCAAAGAATACACTTTGCTAGTTCCTTAGACTCTCTCACTCTATCATTATGCATTCTATCATTCCTTTCCCACCATATGAAATATAATGTAGCTGTAAACAGGATCATTTACCACTTCAATTAAAAAGAAGTAATTGTTTATTGTTTGTTCTGTTTGTCCTTAAAATCTGATATGAAATCACTCTTTCACTTTCGAATTTTATTTGCGAAAGAGTGAAAATCTGTTGAAACGCTTAAAAATAATGAATCAATTGTCCTGAAAAATGTTTTATTATTTGATTGTACGGTTTGTACCTATTAAAAAATGAAATATGTGAACATATAGTGGAATGAAAAAGCAAATGTTGTGTTTCTAGAAAAAAATGTTGGGAAATGGAAAGGATAATTAAATATAATGTACCTGGAGAAGGGGAAAAATAACCTACAGTTTTTATTTAGGCATTTCCTAATGGTACATGACATTTTGCACATTTACATGGCAAAATGAAAAGAATTATGATATGACTTATTATCTTCCTGCATCCCAGCCTGTTTTCAAAGTAAATCAGGCCATCAATTAAACATGAAGTATTGTGAAATAAGTGATTATACATATGGAATTCTATCCCAAAAAAAAAAAAATGTTATGCTTAAGGGGGACAATTGCCATTGGAATACAAAGATTATTTCCTTAATCAGGACTGGAGTTCATCTCATTTAACTTTAATCTGTCTGTTGTCATTTCACTAGCTCTTTTATTTTTGAAGATATTGATGTTAGCAGTTGCCATATTTGATTTCTAAGACTATTAAATATTATAATACAGGTGGCAAGCACCCATATCATGAATTTCTATCACTGGTTCCAATTCATATAGTCACCCATGCATCTCAACTTCCAACTGACTTTCTCTATCCCTCTCCGGAAAGACAGTTGGTTATTGGATTTGATTGTGAGGGTGTTGACCTCAGTCGATATGGAACTCTTTGCATTATGCAGGTATTATGTTTGTCTTTATACTTCTTTTGCAGAGATGACAACTTTCTACTTCATATAATGGGCTATACCTTTGATTTTATGTCATTGAATGTTCTCTTAGTCATCAAATTGAATGTTCTCTAAGTCATCAAATTGATACTTAAACAAGTATGAACTCTTTATTTCTTTATGGAGGCCATATATACGTAATGATGTTCAGTTACATGCATATGCATGTCCAAACATACTGCTTATGATTCCATCTCAGAACATACAATTCACATCACCAACAATATGAAAAATCACTTGTTTTCTTTTCTTGGTAATAAATGAACGTTAACTTTCTATAAATAGTAGGATGGTATAATTGATTAGCATTTGGTTTTAGCTCATCTACTACCAAAAACCTTAAACTTCTTTTCATGTGATGATAAACTCGCCAATAATTTATATGTACAATATGATATAAGCTAGACATAGGATTTATCGCAACCCCATTGAAGCTCATCATTTCAATATTTTTGTGTTTGTGTTTGGGATTTTGGATTTCCTTTCCTCCATAGCTTTTGTGTAGGTATTTTCTTCTTTTCTTGTTTCACTTTACACAGTTACTCTATTGGTTTGTAACTTAACTAGGCTAATCTGTCCTAGCTGCAACCTAAGCCTAAACCAGTTAGAATATTCTCCCATTAAGTTTTGCTAAAATCGAAGAAAGTGCACTTGTGTATTTATTAAATAAATCAATCCAGCCAGCATAGTAGTGGTGTACACGAGTAGCTAGGTGTGATTCCTTTATTAGATGCATTTCTTTTGAGGTAGCACTTAATGATTTTTTCACTTTCAGTTGATACCTTTAGTCTTTAGAGGGGAAAATAACATTTTTCAGAAATCACGAGATGAAATTTTGTTGACTGTTATCATCTTGATAATGGGAGACTGACTTGGGATGTTCATTTTAGGAGGCATTTTCAGAATTGGGAGATTGAGGAGGTCACTCGCTTTTTGGATTTGTTGTACTGCCAGGTGATTTTAGTTGTGGATTCGGATTGTTGGCTTTGGGATCCTAACTCTAAAGGCCGTTTTGAGGTTCGGTCCTTTTTCAGGTGTCTTTCGCTTGGCTTTGGAGGCCCTTTCCCTTGGAAGTCTATTTGGCGGTCTAAGGCTCCTCTCAAGGTGGCCTTCTTTGCTTGGACCTCTGTTTTGGGTAAGATTCTTACTCAAGATAATTTGAGAAGAAGGAATCAGGTGGTGGTTAATCGATGTTACTTGTGTCGGAGCGATGAGGAGACTGTGGATCATCTTCTGTTTCATTGCAGCTTGGCTAGGGAGTGTTGGGATTTATTGCTTGGTTTGTTTGGGATCCCTTGGGTCATGCCTCGCTCCTCTAGTGGGTTGATTGAGACTTGGAGAGGTTTCTCAGTGGGGGCTCTCATTCAGGATGCTTGGAGGGCTGCTCCTCTTTGTATTTGGTGGTGTATTTGGCTTGAGAGAAATCGGCGCTATTTCGATGGAAAGGAGAAGCCTTCTTCTATGCTCAAGTTTTCTATTATTCCACCCTTTTTTGTTGGGTTTCCGGGAGAGATTATAGATCTATTGAGGAGATTGTTGTTTTTTTGGCCTCTTTGAAGGCTTGAGTCGCTTTTTGGCCTTTCGTTTGTATTTGGGTTTCGCTCCCCTTCTGAGCGCTTTCTTTTTAAAATTTTTTACTTATCAAAAAAAAAAAATTTTCTTTGTAGGGGATCTATGATTTCCTAACTACCACTAATAGGATAATTTTGGCTTCAAATGAAATATAAAATAGACTCTAGTGATTCCTTTTTGTTAAGTCAATAGGACTTAGGTTGTCAAATCATACTACAAATGCTTGAGTTTGTATTTTTGTTTAATTTTTAGAAATTTTTTAGTTGTTAGAAGATAGTTAGTTTTAGTTGGTTACCTCTTCTCCAATATCAAATTCAGAAAGGAAATATGCAATCAAGGGCAAAAAGGTAAATACTACACTCTTATGTTCACTCACTATTTTAGGGTTCATGTTTTCAATATACTCACATGCACTCACCATTATGCTTTATGCATTCCTCAATTAAAGTTTCATACTTTGCATGTTTTGATCTTGAAAATCCTTTTGTGTGGTGCGTAAAACTGTTTACAATTTCCCTTAAACAAAACCCTAATTGAATAAGGACATGGCACCTTGATTGATTGAGGGATAAAGTGAACGCCACTGGGCCTTGTGTCTATCGACCTGCACTTGGCTAACTCATCAAACCATACGAAATTTAGTTTCCATGTAGAACTAAATCTCTTTTAAACCTTGTCTTTTAAGGGTTTTATACTCTATATACTGAACACCTATGTTCAGAAAAAATATATCGAGCTACATATTATTATTTTTGAGCATATAGTGCATAATAGAGTGCATTCTAGCAATTCTATGCTATAGTTTTTCTTTGAATCATACTTCATCATTGGTGAGAGTATGTGTTTGAGGTTTTGTTCATACTTGTGTTGTGCTTATGGAGGCTAAAACACCAAACTAAATTCAACACAATGAAAACAAAGGTTGGACATCTGGTCATGGAGATCAAAGTGCCTGTGATTCTTGTGGAGAAGCAGATTGCATGAAGATTGAATCTTTTGACGAAGCGGACGGCTTGGAGACTCGAGTGGAGAGTTTGGCATTAGTCTATGCAGGAGGTAACTAGGAGTTTCTAGGGGTATTAGAAGTTAGTCAACCTAGTTGTAATACTTCTTTCCCATAATGGATTTGATCGGCTTGGACTAGATTCCGTGGTTTTTTTTTTTCCTTGGAGTTGTCACGTAAAAATCTTGTTTTTGTCATTTTACTTGAAGTATTGGGTAAAATATACTGACCTCCCTTGAGATTTGACTTTTTTACATGCGACATAAAAGAATGGCCAAATCACACTGTGTTTCCCTGAGTTTTGGCATGTATGCTTAATGTTCAGATTCATGAGAGAGAGAGAGAAAGAAATCTGTATATATTGTATATTCCCTTCAGCCCAAATGAGGCTTATATAAAGGACAAAGGGTTATACCCTAATTACACAATATTGCTTAATTACACAATAATCCTAACTACTATGGGTAATTACATAATGACCCAACTAAACATTCTAACACTCCCTCTCAAGCTGGAGAATATATATCAAATAATCCCAGCTTGGAATAGATAGTCCTTAACCGGTTATGACCCAGTGCTTTGGTAAACATATCAGTTAGTTGATCTTCAGACTTCACAAATGGAGTAGAGATGCTCCCACTTAATATTTTTTCCCGAATGAAGTAACAATCAACCTCAATATGTTTGGTCCTCTCATGAAACACAGGTTTTGATGCAATGTGAACAGCTGCTTGGTTATCACAGAACAATGGAGTAGGAGCTTCAACTGTCAACCCAAGTTCTTTTATAAAATGTTGTATCTATGTCAACTCACTAGTGGTATGGGCCATTGCCCTGTACTCAGCTTCAGCACTAGATCAAGCTACCACCGTTTGCTTTTTACTTTTCCACGTAATAAGATTTCCTCCTACAAATGTACAGTAGCCTGTAGTAGATCTCCTATCCGAAGGAAAACCAGCCCAGTCAGCATCTGTAAAACCTTCTACCCTGAGATGAACATTTGATTTGTATAGTAACCCAAAACCTGGAGCTTGCTTGAGATATCGGATAATCCGAAGAACAACAATCCAATGTGGCATTCTAGGAGTTCCCATGAACTGACTTACAACACTAACTGCTTATGAAATATCAGGTCGAGTGATAGTGAGATAAATTACTTTCCCAACAAGGCGACGAAATCTGCCCGGGTCATTAAATAGATCACCTTCATCAGACACAAGTTTTGTATTTGAATCCATAGGAGCATCAACTGGACGACCACCTAACATACCCATTTCTTCTAGCAAGTCCAACACATATTTTTATTGAGATAAACTAATACCCTCCTCGGATTTAGCAACTTCAATACCCAAGAAGTACTTAAGTTTACCCTAGTCTTTAGTGTGGAATCGATTTTGCAGAAACAACTTCAACTTAGCAATGCCTGCAAAATTATCACCTGTGATCACAATATCATCTACATACACCACAAGAAAAATGAAGCCAGCTTTAGTGCGCAGGTGAAATACCGAATGATCGGTCTGGCATCTGTTAAGACCAAATTCTAATGCCGCCTCAGAGAATTTTCCAAACCAAGCCCGTGGAGATTGTTTCAATCCATATAGGGCCTTTTTAAGGCGACAAACAGTGTGACGATACTCCCCCTGAGCAACAAACCCAGGTGGTTGCTCCATATAAACTTCTTCAACCAGGTCACCATGTAAGAAGGCATTTTTGACATCCAATTGAAGCAACGGCCAGTTATAGTTGGCAGCAATGGAAATAAGAACCCGAATAGAAGAAATCTTAGCAACAGGGGAAAAAGTCTCATCATAATCAACACCATAAGTCTGAGTGTACCCCTCTGCCATTAGACGAGCCTTCAACCGCTTAATAGACCCATCGTGAAGGTATTTAACTGTATAGACCCACTTACAACCAACCGTTTTGGAACCCGGAGGTAAGGGAACATGATCCCATGTTCCATTACGGTGAAGGGCATCCATTTCATCTACCATGGCTTGTCGCCAACCCAAATCAGAGAGAGCATCCTACAAAGTCTTGGGAACAAAAGTAGCAGATACTTTGGATAAAAAACAAGATAAAGCGGATGAAATATGATGGTAGGAGACAAAGTTAGAAATGGGATGTGCAGTAGTAACACACGACCGAATACCTTTAAGGAGAGCAATAGGCAAATCATCAGGTAAAGGCGTCGGATCCGAAGACTCCGAAGGAGATGGAGGGAGCGAAGTAGGCGGTCGAGGTCGTCGAGTATAAACCTGCAATGGGACAGCAGAGCGAGGAGGTGCGGAAGCAGGAAACTGAGATGGAACCGTTGGCATAGGTGGCTCAGAAGTAATATCTAGAGGTGTAGTAGAATCAGAAAAATATGAGA